CACTACGCTCCGTAGAGATGAAAATGGAGTGGAAACTTTCCCTTTTTCCGAAGAAAAAAATGAAAACGAAGAGGAAATATGAAAATGGAAACGAAAATTTGCAAAACGAAAACGGAGATGAAATTTTTTATGTAGAAGCGGAAACAAAAATGGAACGACATTTTCCGGTGGAACAGACGTGGAAATGGAACTTTCCGTTTCCGTGACTATGGAATTTTCATTTTTACTATAGGCCTATAGCTGCTTTGTGGCACTACGATCAAACAACACACAAGGACACAATGAGCAAAACGAATTATTTAGGTCCAACTTTTACTACCACACACGTACTTAACTAATCATATATGCAATTGTCCTGTACTACTATAGTACAATGCTAAGTTGTTAACATAATCATATTATTTTGTAGCCATATTAACAATTCATTAAAAGATTGTTCTTGTGTGTATTTCTCTATTGGGGTTTCTAAGTTCCGCTTAACGCCCACTTTTGTTTCCATGTCCGCTTTGTATTCACTCCATGTCTGTTTTCGATAGTGTCTGTTTTCCGTATTCATATCCGGGATTTCTGTATTGGTTTCCCTATCTGCAAAAAATATGAAAACAAATGTGGTGGCACCCAGTTCCGTCCGTTTCCGCTCCGTTTTCATGCCTAACGCTCCGCCAGTGGAGGTAGGTGTCACAATTGATATCCACATAACCTTGAGGATTACTTTGCATGAATAAAACTTGATAAACAATTGGTCCTCTCAATTATTTGTCGTTAATCACCGAAACCCAACAAGGATATTTAAGAGATGCACTTTCAGGTGGCTTCATACCTTGGATTGCAGGTTTCATCACAATGTCCAGAGTAAACCTGATCATTCCTCGGGTCAGGCTTGTAAAATCTCGAAGCAAAAATCCCAAGCCTGGGCCCAGCCCGGCCCGGCCTGAAGCACATGAATAGTGCCATTTTTCAATTAAAATAATAATAATAGGGGTACTAAAATAATAAATTATACCTATATTTCGAATAAAATATAGATTTATGGGCATTTTCGGGCTTTTTCCGGGCTTTCAGGTGGGAAAATGGAGACCGGGCCCAGCCCGCCTGGCTTTCGGGCTCGGCTGCCCATGCACATGTCTAGTCTAGAGCTCCCTTTGTGGTGTTCGTTTTGGCCCACCTTCTGGAAAAACGAAACTGATCGGACATTTTGAACCAAATGTTGAGCTGGGAAATTCGGTGTCCCTTGCACTGAGGGGTGACTTTACTCAAACAGTAGTATTTTATTTCAATATCTGTTGACGAGGTAGGAATTTTATGGTATTTCCGTATTTGGCCTTAGTGGTAGATGGTTCGTGTTTTAGATCTACTAGTAAGGTACACGTACATTTCACGCATGAGATTTGGTAACCAAATTATGAATAAATATCACACTATAGCATGTATGTTTTGAGTCATATATGCATGATGTAGATGTTCATTTTATTCTTATACTTCATCTCATTCAAAATCAATTAGTTTTATAAAAAAAATATTTTAAGATTCATGGAATTGTGCATTGTAAATCATAAACTAAAAACAAACAGTGACAATTCATTTAGAAAAAAAGTTTGGGCAATTAAGATATGGAAGATTCTAGAATAAAGGAGAAGTGCTTGTGTTTTGAGGTTTGTGCATTATGCTTAAGTTCAACCATGGAGTCTTCTAGATTGTACATATGGCAGAATCTGGTGGAATGTAGATATATCCAACGGCCAGTAGTGCTCGGATTTACCATCTCTGTACCGTTGGATTGGCTTCATCCAACGACCAACTTTCAAAGTTATTCGCACACTATATAGGGGTATAGATTAGGTGGACCTTTTGAACTGATTATTTAGCCCATGTTTTCTTAGCGCAGGCGTCATAGGGTCTCCACGAACAATCCGCAAAGTAGTCAACATACTATGTATGCCATGTACAATGATAGATTTGTTGTATTCCAGGGTAGTTTTGTGTGTTCTTTTGCTTGGCGACAAATAATTGTATGCAACATGCAAAACAATTGTTTACTTTCTCCAGGTTGTTATGTTACCTCTTTTATATAGTTGAAATAAATAAATTCCAATATATGCTAACGAAACAAAATTATTTAAGATAACAATTTATTGATATAGCATGGATTGTATTTTCATGTCATTGGCCTATCAAGTGGAGGTACAACACTACTAACAAATATAAGAAGAAAAGAAAACTTGATGCACAACCACAAGGGTAAAATGGCGCAAGAATATAATGACGTTCACATGATGTCGCAGAATCCGGGAATCAATAGTAGACTGGTTTTTTTCTGGGTGAATAATTAGGAATGAGAACCTTCCAATTGACTGAATATAAACAATGAATTTCCTTAATATACATACAACAAGGGGCAGAAACAAGCAGAAACCTTGGAACAAAATGACTTCATGCTCGTGACCGTCAATCCTAATTTCATGGGAACCAAATTTGTTCCCTTCTCTGATTTCTAGAAGACCTGATGCTGTCCAATATACTCCTCTATGAAGTACTAAAGAGGAATATCTAGTCCAAAATATTTGGTCCAAAATATCTAGTCCAAAATATGAGCTCAATTGCCGGAAGCTTGAACTTCACACCAAATTAACTAACTAAACTTCTACTTTGTCAATTTGACATCAATGCGTGAATCTGGTTTTGTTTCAGGGCCAAAGCAATCACGGGTAGTCGACCCTATTCGACCAGGTGGCCAGTACCGGAAAATAGATCGTCCCAGTATGTTCTTTGCAGGAAGAGGACCCCTGAAAAGCAGTTGTACATGCTAATTAAACTTCCAGTGTTATGTAAGAAGTTAACCATTAAGTAACATGAGAAAATCAGCAGAAAGATATCGATGAAGTTGGCAGCATTACCACACATGGGAATCATAACTGTTATTTCGGTTATCCCCCATTACAAAGACTGCATTTTCAGGCACTTGCTGCAAGGAAAATATAGATAAAGATCGTTAGCTAGCTGAAAAGAACATCATGACCTACAAGAACCAGACAGTTCATATTCAAGCATTCATGTATATGTAAATAGCATACAACTTCTATAATAGCTCGGGATACCCCACGTAGGTTGACTTTCAGGTATTCTGTCGTTTACCATAACAAAATCTACAAATTTACTTTAGGAACCTCAACAATAATTTCTCTGGAAATTCGAAATGTTCCTTCTAACATGTCACTGAAAAATGGTTCATAAGACAAAACCAACGGTCTCTCCTAGAACAAGTTACATAAAAGGCTGCCATAATTTAAGCAGATATCTCTATCGCTCATGTGCAGCCTAAGAAATGCCTTACCACTGGGTTCATGTCATAAGTAGGTGGCTCAAGAATGAATTCTTCATTCCTAGCCTCACCATTCACAACTAGTTTTCCTTTATGAACCTGCAGCATAACAGGTAATGGAACATTAAGACTTTTTTATTTGAGAAAGTTCTGGTGTTTCCATGATAAATTTGGCCGCAAATTTAACATGTCCACACAACAATTAAATTTAGACTAACTTGTAATAGAAGAAAATCACTTTACTTTAAGCTACCAAGGGTATCTTTCTTCTAATGTGCATCACACTTTGTGTCTATTTTCTCATCCTTGTTCGTTCTGACTTCTGTAACTACTGGGTTGCAAATATGCAGTTACGCACCATTTTTAATTTGTATGAACTAGATCCTAGGCTTGCAGGCTCTGCAATATCAAAATATTTGGTCGTATTGCATATGTAAGATGAACTATGTCACTTTGTGATTCTTTCAAGTTATTATTCAACATATTCTCCTCTCTTAGCATATTCAACATAATAAAATAGTTTCTTGACAGCATTTTGATGAATATACACAAGATGACCTTGATTAGCTAAACAATCGAAAATACGAATTATTGTTTGAGCAATTCTACTGAGAAGGGCATATAATGATTGCCTTCAGTAGAACACTAAAAGTAACTGGCGAGTTGAAGGATCAGGCAGAAACTGTTGCCTGGTGAGAAACTGAGAACATCCTCACAGTTGGCTGGAACCATTACCTCATTCAAACTTAAGGAAAAAAAAAACTAACTGGACGATTTTATGTATGGAAACAAATAAGAACGACATCATTGAAGAGATACAGATATTCACCTAAAGTTTGTTTCTGATTCTGAAACTAACCTCAACAGTATCTCCAGCCCTGGCAACTATTCTTTTGATGAAAACATCATTATCAGTATACCCAACATCCTGAACAGGAAGAGTTGCAATCAGGAAACAGCATATATCATCTGGAAACACTGCATCTAAGGACGATTTGTAATTACCTGTAGCACTGGCGGGCTTTTGAATATAACAATATCATTTACACAAGGCTTCCTAAAGTAGTATGTAACCTGAGAAATATTGGTATTGGTGAAACTTGCAATCAAGTTAACCAAAAAAAATCTGTAATTGGTAAAATATCAAATAAATCTAACATAATGAATGAAGGCTTGTAGGTGCCATAGTGGTCTATAGAATTATCTTGCATTTTAGATTAACTTGAAAGCTTTATGTGCTGCTCTACAAACCTCCAGAACATCCTGCCTTGATGACCACACATACTTTGGACTAAGGATCAGGTAAAAGTTTGGCGTAATTAAAGAAAGATGCTTATTTCCATACCTTTTGCAGAGATTATATATGTACTAATAGCTATCACATTTTTTAAACCAAACACAATATGGTCAAAGTCTGCAAAGTGAATTAGATCCCAGACTAAATAGTTTCATCTCAGAACTTCAAAGTTGTCTATAGTTTCAGATTGTCAGTCGTGCCATAAATGATATTTTTACCTGTTAGTTCACAGAACAACAGAACAATTATAATGAGTCCTATTTAAAGAATATTATCAGTGGTACATATTTTCCATATTATACTTTTGCACCTGTTAAGATCTTATCCAACACTACAAGAGACCAGCCATTGCCTGCAAAGCTAGTATCCCAATTTGCATTTATATGGTGTTCAGTGTTGTATTAATCATTATGGAAGTGAAATTCCAAGCATAGTAAGTGTGGCAGCACACGAGGAACTCATCTGTCATTTCAAAGACAGCACATTGACTACTAATTATAGTAAGTATAAAGCACCAATTTTGATGTTTAACATATAAGCTGGAGGTCAAGTGAGCCATAAAGTTTGGTTATACTTCACACTTAGAAACTAATACTACTTGTTGGTGTTTACTGCTCCAAGGGGTAATACTGAATCCTCAGCTTGAGAAAGCATTTTTCTACCTGCAGTCTGAAATAATAATGTGACCACAATAAATAATTTTAACACAGCACGCCATGGTGTTCATGTGCAAACTCCCCAGGTCATAAATCGCTGGAGTAAATAAAGTTGGGCCTTTTATAAAGTATAAATAAGGTGCGACGGAAGGACGGACCTTCTCGGCGACGATGCGGTCGCCGACGTCGTAGGTGGGGAACATGGAGAGGGAGGGGATGAACCGCGGCTCGGCGACGAAGGCGCGGAAGGCGAGCGAGATGGCGACGGCGGCCAGGACCGTCTTGGCGTCCTCCGTCGTCACGGTGAGCCACTCGGGCAGCAGCCCCTGCCTCTCGCCCTCCTCGTCCCCGTCCCCGCCGCCTCCACCGCCGCCCTCCCCTCCCCCGCCGCCCCCGCCGTCGGGGTCGGGGCCCACGGGAGGCGCTTCGGGCGGCGTTTGCGGGGCGGTGCGAGCGCGAGTCCGCCTCCTGAGGCGGAGGCGCGGCGGGGCGCTCCGGAGCTGGAAGGCGGCGGCGGTGGCGGCCGAGATGGGGCTGTGGAGGAGGGGTTTGGGGGAGGGCCTGAGGAGGCAGGCGGCGGTGGGAGCCTGCGAGGCGGCCGGGAAGAAGTGGACGGAAGAAGACATGGCTGCGGTGGGAGGCAGGCGGGCGGACGGGAATGCGGCGGTGGTCGTCGGCTCGCCGGCGTCCGCCTCGGCCGCTGTGGCTTGGTGGTGGGAGTGGGTGGGATAAGCCGGTCGGCGACTTTTTCTTTCTTTTCTGGAGGTCCTTTTTTTTGTTGAGACAATTCTTTTTTTGGAGGTTTTTCGTTTCTCTTTTGGAGGTGGGCCAGTAAGAAATCGGGCCCTGAGGAACTGAAGCCCACGCAGGAGAAACACAAGAGTTTCTAAAAAAAAGGAGAAATACAAGATAAGTAAGACGTATACATTGGGTAAGAAAATCATTTATTAACTCATTCGACTGAGAAATAGATCGGTCTCAGTCGAATGACGTGATGATGACGTCGTGTGCTATTTGTCTCAGCCTAGGTGTTGTATCCTTCATATACCTGACAAAGAAACTCTTGACATTGATTGCGGCCGTTCTTAATCCCTATGGAGCTACTATGTTTGGTTCTCAGGTTAGTGCCTACAAAAAGAAGCAAATAAAATTTTAATGAACTTCTGAATCTTGCTTGAACTATTCTGGTTATTTGGTTACGGAAATTTGATGTCTGTTCTTTTGTACTGTTATGGGGAAAACATAAAAACACAGGGGGGGCAAAATAGCCAGTAGCAACAGTGTTGAATTCTGATGCTTGGAACCAAGGGATGCAACATACACACCCCTGGATGCAAAATCAGAAGCTTCCACATGCTTCTATAAACAGAACACAAGGGAATGCCCTGAATATTCCAGTGAGTGCAACTATGTATGGTATCTTCAATAGTCAAGGCAATACACAGGTATTTCTGTGCTCTTTGAAAAAAAATTGCTTTTCAAATTGTCAGTAGACACTTCCGTGAATGTTAAAACTTCTTTGTGCAGGCAAACTTGCCTGTGAACCTGGGTGCACATACTTCAGTGGGTGAGTCCAACCAAGTGTCTGATGCACTCCAACCCCCTGTAAGTGTTTACAGTCTAGGGAAAATGGAATAAAAAAAAGAAAATCTACTAAGATTGTCTTACAAGAAATTGGCAAAAATAATGATGCAGGCAAACAAGGTCGCTTATGAAGCCCCTATGTCATACATGCAACTCCTACTTGCTGCTGAAGAAGAGGTTCTCTACTAACATACTCGTGTTTGCTTGTCGTAGATAAAAATTGTATTAACTTACGAAAATAAACCCACAAACATAAAAAACATCAAACAAAAACAAAACTAACTATTGTTGTTTTACTTTTCAGGGTGCTAGAAATGCATCATCACAATCACAAGAAGATCGCCTTGTTCGTACTGAGGTATGTTTTCTCCTGCTTAAACTTGTGTCTATGTCCCCTAAACAAAAAAAATTTGACTGCTGTGAATAACTATAAAAAAACTCTCTCTACAGAACGATATGTACATGATACTGGGCGATACAGTGTATCTTCAGAAGATCCATTCCAAGCACACGCTGGGCGTGGAGCTCAGCATACATCTGAAGTCAATGACCAGCATGATATAGATCTTGAACCTTTTGTTGACAATCGATTTTCAGAAAGCTTGAATGATTTGAACTGGGACAATGAAATGCAGACAGAAGCAGGAAGAAACAAAAACGGCTCTATGGTGTCAAATGAGATTGCTTCTGACAATGATTCTGATTCCGAGGATGATCTTTCTTCGTCGTTGTTGCAAAAAGCCTTTGAAATTGCTGTTACAACTACTGGAGAACAAAAGAACAGTGGTGCAGCTGGTGAAGTTCAAAAATTAACACAGGAAGACATACTGATATTCCTTGAAAATGACAGTATAGAAGCTGCTCAAAGTGCTAGCCAAGAAGTGCGCAGCCATCACGTACCCCATGTGGACATGGTCTTTGATACGGGTGATGCATCTTACAACTTTTACAATGAGTATGCCTCAATTGCTGGTTTTTCTGTGACTAAAGCATCTCGGTATTGTGGCAAGAAACAAGGAGGCAGTGCAGCAACTCGGGTAACTTTCAAGTGCAATCGGTCAGGAAAACTAATTGATGAAGAAGAACAAGAGAATAGGAAGAAGAAACGACATGACACAAGGCAACAGAAGACAGGACAAGAGCCCTATCGCAACGCAAGGAAGAAAAAAGCAAACACCATTGCAATAACAGGGTGTAAAGCTCAGCTTATTGTCACCAAGAAGGATGAGAAGTGGGTGATAACAACCATAAACCTAGAGCACAACCATGATTTGAGTCCTCACATAGAAGTGAAATACCTTCGTTCTCATAACTACACAACAGACGAGGAGAAGCTCCTAATCCGAACTTTCAATGCTGTGAAGCTACAAACAAGACAAATAATAGCAATCCTAAGTTACTTGAGAGGCGGGAACACTCATTACACCAAAAAGCATGTAAGCAATGTTAGAACAACCATTGGCAAAGAGAGTAATCAAAATGACATGATGTAGGTGCTCACATATTTAAGGAAGAGACAAGCTGAAGATCCACAATTTTACTATGCGTTCAAAACAACTAAAGTCTCTGATGACGCAAGTAAAGTTTTGTGCATTTTCTGGGTTGACGGATATTCTAGGAAAATGTACGAGCTGTATGGAGACTGCCTCAGCTTCGACACAACATTCAAGACAAACAGATACAACCTCCCATTTGCTCCCTTTGTTGGTGTCACAGGACATGGCCAGAACTGTTTGTTTGCTTGCTCTATCATAGAGAATGAAACAGCTGACACCTTTCAATGGTTGTTTGAGACATTCTTGCATTGCATGGGTGGGAAATCTCCGTCCACAATCATAACAGACGAGGATGCTGGGATGAAGACAGCTATTCCTTTAGTTTTCTCGCATATCTGCCACAGGCGTTGTTTGTTTCATATTAAAAAGAAGGTTGAGGAAAAATGTACTAGGACTTTTGCAGCACATAAGACACTGCATGATGATATCAGTGACATCATTCACAACTCTCTGACGGTGGCTGAGTTTGAGCAATTGTGGACAGAAATGTTGGAGAAATACAACATTGGGCATGTGAAGTATTTTCAAATCATGTGGAAGAAAAGGAAAAGGTTTGTCCCTGTGTATTTCAAGACGGACTTCTTCCCCTTCATTCACTCTACTGCGCGTAGTGAAGGCACCAATGCCATTTTCAAGGACAACATCACGTCAACTCACAATGTGATGAGCTTCCTCCAAGAGTACCAGAAGATTTCAGAGACCATACAAGATAAGGAGAGGCAGCAAGACTCTATCACAAGAACAACTTCGCCGACATTCTGGGTACGAAGTGAGATTGAGATACAAGCTGCAAAAATGTACAACAGAAAGATATTTTACAGATTCCAAAACAGATAAAGTTTGTGATGAATTTGCATGTTGAAGAGGTTGAGAGAAATGTGAAGTATGAAGTCTACAAGACACCAATGCTAGCTGAAAAAGATTTTAGAACGCGAAGATTTGTTGTGATTGTCAACTTGCAGCAACAGCTATTCAGTTGTATCTGTGGGAAATTTCAGAAAGATGGCATTCTGTGTTGCCATGTCTTGAGGGTCCTTTCTCATCTCAACATGTCTGTGCTGCTCGAAAAATACTACATAGACAGGTGGAGGCCAAAAAATACAAAGGACCTGCGGGACATCCGTTTCAATGTTCCTTTGGAACTAACTGCTGGAAGTCAACACTTGAGGTATACCCTGCTATCCAACAGGCTCAATGAGATGGCTTCAGACGGTGCATCAACAAATAGAAAATATATGTATGTTGTAGCAGAATGTGAAAGGGTGCAACAAAAGTTGGATGAGATGACTAAAGAGGATGAACTTGCAGAAGCACAACAAGCAAATGTTGACAAGGACACAACAGAGACTGATGCAGCACTGCATCCTGATGGCTATGGAGACAAACTTCAAGATCCTGATGTTGCAGTATCAAAAGGGCGTCCACAAAAAGGTCGTTACAAAACTTTCATGGAAAGTTTAGCATCTACACAGAAAGTCACATGCAGTCGGTGTGGGAAGCCTGATCATTATAAAAGTTCTTGTACTGCAAGTACTGAAGATGTCAATTTGGCTCAGAAAGAAAAAGTCAGCCGCAAACAAGCCTCAGGTTTTTGCATCAAAAAACTTTTCTCTTTTTGGTGTTACCTGGTTTTTACTGCATTACAAAAAAAATGTTTATGGCCTATAAAATTTTGCAGCCTCATCTGGGACATCTACAGGTAAGCAACCATCTGGTGGAAACCCGAGGAAGAAGGCAAGAAAAGAAAAATAAAAATTTGGGTGCTGGAAGTTCAAGAAGGCAAAAAATATGCAAGTGATGACTGAAAAAAATGTAAATTGGCTAAAGTTTTGGTCGTTTGTTGTCCTACTGAACAAAAAGCAAGAAGGAACTATGAATGTTCATGGATGATCTTGATTTTGCTGTTGTTTTAAGACTGTTTTGGCAAATGCATACATTATAAATTTCAGTACTGGTAGAAAAAACCAGCAAAAAAATTGCTTTCCTGTTGGGGTAGGAACACTGACCTTAACACAGTATGTCCCTTGAAAAATTTTCATACACTTTTTCGCTTGTGCTGTAGAAGTAGATTCCGTGCGCAAAAAGAATTTTGAAATCCTGCATTAAAGAAATGATGGGGGAAAATGATAGAAACAAATGAACAAGGGCAAAAAATAATGTACTCATTAGTGCCGCAACAGAATACATAAAAAATGTTAGAAAAAAGAGGGATACTGAAAATAATCAAACTTAAAAACAATAAAAAAAATAGAAAAGAACACTCTAAGAACTGATGTTTTCGATATTAATCTGGAAACAAAATGACACAATCCGAATTGTTTTCCGGTTAATAACCAGTTTCTACGACACTGCTATACAACTTGTATTCGCTTTCAAAAAAAGAAAATCATATTGTTCCTCCATGTACACTGGATGTTGTGTGATGTTGTTAAACTTTTGTGATTTTTTTTATCATCTTGCTGAAAGACCTTCTTGTAGTATTCCTC